TTTTTCCTCACAAATGAGGAAGGAAATTCGTGGTGTAACGATTGTACTCGCAACGAGAGAGGAAATCGGAGAAGACGCACGAAACAGTGTAACGAGGAACTATTAGTGCCCCGCGGGTCAATGACTTGGGCATCGTGCGTTTGTGCGTTGTTTTTTTCGTCACTTTTCGAGTGGCGAGTCGTTGGCGCAGTTTTCTTGCCGGTGTTTTTAAGGCCATCGACGTCTGACCTCGATCGCCGTGCGTCTGGAATCTCGTTCCACTTTTACAAGGTGGTAAGTATCATCGCGAACGAGGAAACGAGTGGGTATTTTTTTTTGGTTTTTTTTTTTTTTACGTTCTTGTTGTGTTCGAAATCTTTGGATTGGGGATTTGTCTTGCTTTGGGTCAATGGTCGTCTTTTTCAGTGCGTCACGGAGAAGCTATAACGAGATTTCGATTATGCAACGGTTATTCGGTTGAACTGGTTTAAGAAGAGCTGAACGATCAACTTTTTCAAATTACGATTTTTTTATCATAAAACAGTATCTTTGCGTATTTTAATTTAGGCAAATTACTTTACATTGAAACATATAGAAACTTACTATGATCAACAATTTTTGAGAATCTAAATTTTTCTTACAACATTTAATTAAAACGGAAACGCTTGATACTCTTTTCTATGATTTAAAATTAATCTTCCAAGAGTTCTGTTTAATACCACTGGCTTAGTAGAGAGGCTTCAACACCCGAACCTCGGAGACATAGTCTTTCAAGGTAAGTCATCTCGAAGTGTCTTATTAAAAATTAAAAAAGGATGCTTCTGTCTTGCATAACTTGCTTGAAGTAAAAGATAAAGTCATCGCCTCCTTTTATCCGTGATAAATGTATTTAGCTCTAATTGGTCCAAAACGGTATGCGATGCACGAGGAGACTGGTTAAATTCATCAATCCATCATACAAGCTGTGAATGATCCCTTTCGGAAAATAATCTGACAGGCATCATTTAAATTTCAATAAACTCTTCCAATGGCGCAGAAGAGTATAAGGTCTGTTGCGTACAACAAAAACTAGGCTGGCGCTGGAGAAGTTTTCGAACGCAGTTGATGGACACGCGACATTAGTCGGACACTTTCCTTCGTTTCTTCGGCACCTTTCACGAGTAATTGATCCACCATCGCCATTTATCACGGTCCAATTATTACTCTGACACCGGATTTCGTGAAACTTCGCTGGAATAAGTATTAGATGAAATCATTTTTTTGATTTTTTTTTTTTGATATTTCATACGCCCAAAGTTAAATAATACCCAAAAAAATATACCTCGAGTCGCCAGATGTGTCGATATTGATTGGAAAGAAAAGTAACCAAATTTCTTTCCTTTTCCCAGCTCCAAACGAAGCTCGCAAGTTATCGCGATAAATTAATACGCGCTGCATCTCGAAAGTAGAAACAAGTTTATGCAACGCTTCGATCGAAAAACCGCGACTATGATCTTCAAGGCAAAGATAGCAATCTCGAGCTAGAGACACTCGCGTGCGGTCCAGTTGGAGATCCTATCATGCCGTCGCTGCTTACATTAGAGCTCGACACGACGTGCAAACTGTATCGCGGGGGCATCTACATAATTTGATGATAAAAAACGAAAAAAAAAAAAAAAAAAAAAAAAGAAAGTTTCTCCCGCTCGTGTGCTTTACGCGGTGCTCCGTGCAATTTTCGCGATGAACGGACTCGCTGTGCCACCGCTTGTAAATGTCAACGGACGAGTGTACACATCTCCGTGATGGTTGGCAATGATTTCACAGCCGATAATGCCCGTTTGAGCGTCGTTGAGTAATACCAGTACTTGTAAATTGATACCACGGGCTTTTTGCATTATACTTTTTGCGTTGAGAAATTTGCAAAGTGCGCGTTTTATTTTCGGTCGAGTGAGAAGAAACTTTCGAGCAATATTGCATATTTCGATTACTTTAGGAAGTAAGAGTTTAGTTCAAAGTCACCAATTTTAATACTTTGATCACGTCAGCGCTAATGGAAGCAAGACCGGTGAAGTTTATGTTGAAAATAGAGTTTGTTGTTTTTAATCGCTTTGTATTATCAAAAAGTATTTTTGGCGTTGAATAATTTTCCTGCAAATGTCAATATTTATTTATTCGTGTATTTTCCCAATTGGTAAATTTACGTGAGACTAAAAATTGATTCCTCTTAATCTTCAGTATGTGTAATAGTGCGATTAAGAAACTGTTCAATTCAACTGTAAAAAAAAATTTCATAGCCTTTGCTTCTTCTATTGTTGGTTAATCGATGTTTTTGTAACAATGAAGTTTTTTTTTTACAATGGCCCATTGCACAATTGGGAAAAAATGAAAAAAATTATTGAATCATTAAAAAGCAATTTTTGTTTTGCAATGTTCCTCAGATAAATAAAAAAGATAGCGCGAATTCTAGGTGATGGCTTTTTTCAAACCATCGGATTCAATGACGCGTAAGATAAATGTATTCACTGTCGTAGCGATATATTTTTTTTCCCAATGACCAATTTCTAAAAACGTAACGAGAGAGGAAGAAAATTTTTCACTCGCATCTTTAGTTTTGTTTTTTCAATTGCGTTGGACTAACGGGATCGGTTTCGAAATCGAGACAACTCGCACATTTCGAACTCGCGGTATCGTTACGCACTTCTTGTGCGGACACACATCGGCAAAACAAAAAAGCTCTCGAGCTTTAACGACGAAGAAAAATGAGTTTCTCAATCGCACGAAACAAGCCTTTGTGAATATTTCCAATGAAAAACGAATTAGAGGCTCGTACGTGTAAAGCTACATTTAATCAGAACACGAAAAAACAACGCATTAAAGGTATAAGCCATGTCTGTATAACCTTGTGAAATCACACTTCCTGATTTTCGAAACTACTTTTGTCACCATTAATATTGTAGACTTCTCCGGACGCTTACGAAAACCAACTAATTATCATAGAAAACGCCTCTAATTATCCGTACAGCCCATGGAATTTTCTCTACCCAAACAAATGACGAGCGATATAAGGAGTGTACAACAATTAGGTTTCTCTTTTTCTCCAAAGTAGGTATACGAATCAAGGGTCATTTAACACGAACACACTAAGGCTTATCTGTTGCCTGCAGTAGCAACGGACACCACAACCTTGTAATAAAAATATACAAAATGGCCATTTCCTCCCCTTTCATATCACTCATATGATGCGCTTAATAACAACTTAGAACAGCTGCAAGCTCTCGTTCTCACAAACACTCACATTCGGGAGTAGCAACACGCGGCTCCGAAATATATTCACCGAGTGAAAGAGCCAGATACAGAGAGAGGAGTCGGCTCGTCTGCCTTCCTCTCCTACTCCTCCTCAGGCTGGTGAACTTATTTATAGAGGTGAGCGGCGTACCGGCCGATCCAGTCTCTCGCGTCAAACAGCCCCGGCTCTAACATTACGTTGTGTACCTGTATACGCTTGTCGCGTGTGAATAGGTTTGCCTTTGTTTTTCACGGTTTCTAGTGTGCAAGTGACTCGTTTCCCAAGTCCATACAGCTGCAGGAGGACGTTCGCTGGGAAGCCCATTAACTGGTGGTGCAGGGGTAACGCGACTCTCGAGGAAGAGTTGGTCAGCTGGTTTTGCTTTTGCTGCGCGACACACGAGGTATTTGTTTGTTTTTCGTAGTACGTGGGATCTGTATTTCGAAAGAGCGAAAGGATTTTTTTTGGAAAAATCGGCCACGCGATTCTTATCATCCCGCGAGATGAATCGGAGACAGGGGATACACGTGCGTGTTTTATTGCCGATGATGGATGACGCTCGCGATACCTGTTGTAAATTTTCGAACCTGTTGCCGCAATTTCCCGTGCTTTTTCCGACTTGGCGGCTGATTTATAGCCTCGATCGAATGCGCCACTGTTTGCTCGGAATTACCTGGTCTAGCGGGATTCGCGAGATTTCCCGTTTCAGCGTCTAACATCATCGGATTCGCGTTGATTTTTTAATTACAGATAATACTGATCACCATTGTCTTTTTTTTTTTTTTTCAAACATGACAATTATTTGCCATTTTGCCATTTGCCATTTTCATTTGACGTCAACTTCATACACTTTAGACAGAATAGTGACTTGGTACAATTTAGAACATTAAGGTATCGAATTGTTTATTCGTATTGATACAAACCGATCAACGAGTTCAAACTGTTGTGAAGCTACTTTCGAATACTTTGATTTATCTTTCGATTCGTGAAAACGTCGATTCGTCCTAAATTAGAGAACAACATCGTCACAACAAAAGTCTCATTTAATCGAAATCCCAATTAAAATCTCCCCATCAAACATCAACCGATTCGACTCTGGCGTGGAGATCAAATCTTCATACGAACCCGTATCGAATCATCGAACCCTATTGCATGTTAAAAAAAATTTGAATACATATTTTTTTTGACAAACGAAAAAACATGAAACACGCAGGTGAAGAACAATTGGCCGATCACTGACGATGGAGCAGAACAACGGAATCTCGATAATAACGCCACCGAGTCTGGGCGACTCTACCAACGGCAAGATGAAGAACAACAACGGCACCAACGGCAACGGCTTGTCGTCCGGCACGGCCAATAGATTCATGAGCGCCAGGGAAAAGCTGCGCGTACCATGTGAGTATCGCAACAGACGCGACGTGCTCTTATTTATCTATATTGATATTAATCGACGCCTATACGTGATAACATGTGTGTGTGTGTGTGTGCGTACGTCCGTCAGACGCGACAGTTGACGGTTGACACTAATCAGTGGTAAATTAACACTGATACTTGTGTTTATCGAATCATCGCTTGCGTCGCATGTATGGTATATTGTACGTGTATGGGGCTTTGGGCTCATATTTTGATCGGTTGGAGCTTGGCTGTGCTCGACGGTGCTCTTAAAGATGAAAAACAGGTTTTGGATTTCTAGTAGCGTAAGAAATTTGGCTGAAACAATCGTGGATATGATTTAGTATGGAATAAACCAGACGTAGAAAATGTATTGGTGGTACTTGTGCATTGTTTTTTTTTTTTTTTTTTTTTTACTGAAAAATTGGGCCACGACCATAAAAAAAATATAGTGTTTTTATTTGAAACTGAAATCGGTAATTTGTCCATACAGCACCATATTCGAATCAACGCTTGCAGTTTTACCATTTGGCTTTCTCTTTTTAAAGTACACACATCCACTCTTTGCCTTTACAATCGCGTATTTAGAAAATAGATCTTTGAGGACAATTGCCCATAAATTTTGGATTTAGAAAGGGAAATTGTTTTCTTTTCGTGCACCAAAATGCGCGTTTTATATTCATTCAAGTATGCACATAAAAGCTACAAATGAAATTTCCGTTCGTGTACAACCGAAAATCCAATTTAATATCCATTATTCCTCACTGCACGTACGGTCAATGCATACACACGCGCCATGGCACGCATCTTTGGGATCAATTTACATTGAAAGAAAAAAAAAAAAGGAAAAATATTTTTACACAAAAGACATGAGTGGATGACAAATTTCGACACATCTACCTATGATCCTTATCTCCGATCCCATCGGGATCAACAATACGTGTAACTTTCTTCGACAAAAGGACCATTTAAACTTTCGTTAACTACACGATAAAACAAACAAACGACCCATGTACTCTCCAATTGGTGTGAAAATAATTTGAATATCCAAGTATACACCCGATGCATCCCGGGTAAGGGAGCAACCCGATGAATAAACCATAAGCGCAGATGTACGCACCAGCGAGGGAGACAATGCAGAGCGCGAATAATGGGAAAAAAGTGCGTTTTGCTTCGGGGCAACAATGGCTGGCCAAGGAAAACCGATCCAGTTTTCCCAAGAGCCGAGCGAATCTGCGAGGGACTGCAGTTACAATGCCCGGGTGTATACACACACGCGCGCGCGAATCTGGGACGCGCTTTTCCGAGGAAGAAATCGGTGCGCGCTCTCTCGCTGCGTTTCGGCCGTTTGTTTCTGTATACTCCCGGCGGGAAGAAAGTGTACTTTGATTACACGCGCCGAGGAACAGGTGCGTACGGAACCGTATCAGTTTGGTTGTAGGTCGGCTTGATCTATACCGTGAGAGACTACTCGGGTGCAGGTTCGGTCGATTCAACGAAAGGACGCTCGAGCGTTTTCTTTTGGGATGTGCAATTATATATATGGACTCTCTAACGAGAAGCTTGTTTATTACGTTGGTCCGGAGGTAACATTCGTATTTGAATGCTAATGAGGTTCAGGTTGATCTTGAAACCCAAGAGTCATTAGTGCTTGTATACGCAAGCATGTGGCTGATGGTGTACCTGAGCAAAAATTAAAATAAAATTTACTTTCGTTGGTCTTTTGAACACCCAATTCTGTACAAATTGCATACAATTGCCAATTGAAAGGGTTTGCCGATGAATGGATGATTCATTTTGCGGAGACAGATATGAATTCAAAATTTGCTATCCTTACAGATTTGATGAAATTCTCAAACGTTTTGAAAAAAGTGCTTTTCGAAGAAAAGTTGTGGAAATATTTCTAAAATGCCGTGATAATTTATGTCATTCAAATGGTAGCAACCAATAGCTGACACATCAAACACAAACAAGACTAATGTTGTAATAATGCCTTTTGAAAACGTTCGTAAAATTATCAATTTGCTATTTATAACTATGTTCCTCTGAATTTTTCACGCTATGTTTTCTTGCGCAATCGTTTATTAAAATTGTATTGCTGTGCTTGAAATTTTGCAATATTACGCAAACAAAACTGCAACAATCCACAACCAATACACGACGCAATTCATATATTTCATGCTTCGGTTTACTTGCTTTCATGGAAAGGAATCGTTTTTTACACCTGAGTAACCCGAAATTTCATTCAAGGAGATTTATTCACTTCAACGGAGTTATAAAAAAGTTATAAAATGTCCGTTTATTAAATTATTACAAAACTTGTGTTGAAATTTCAGAGTAATTCACAATACGATTTATAGCTAACCGCTTTCGAAAAAATCAATGTTATTATAGTGTATTTTTTAATACAAGTTCTCACAATAGAAGAAATTCCTCAGTCAATGTTTTGTAGTTTTGGTCGAAATAATATTATTGGAATGAAAAGAATTTAAAAAAAAAAGCTTGACACATCAGAAGGCTATTGACATCATAATATGCACATGTCGCCATTTAGTTTCAACAGTACCTTCGCAAACGTAAGGAAATTTGCTCATGTTTTCTTGTCACGCAGTTTGATGACCTTTTACAAATTTATTTTTGCAAACATACTTTCAGTTGAAAAATATCGTCCGAAACTTGGTGCAGTCATTTATGAGACCTCGCACGGAATTCATAAGACATTATTCATGAGCTAAATTTCTTACAGCATATAGATTTGAACAGTAGAAAACTAGATACTTTGAATTGTTCATTCCGTGGCATTTTTGAGCACCGTATTAATAACATTTCATTGAGTTCTGGCAAGTAATATAGTTTCCGTCGTTGACAGAGAAAACTTTTTTGGGCTTCGTTATCGTGACTTTTACAAACACTACATTACTTTTAGGTGTATAAATTTTTCATTAGCTAAAGTTTGAGAGGAAAAAGATAAGTCTCGTAAAAAATACGAGACGAAACGCCAATGGCTTTGAAAACAATCGCGACGATTATTATTGCGAAATTCACACGTCGCCTATGGATAGACAAAGCACGTATCGAGGCTGGTACGGTTTCAAAATCCATTTCGTTGGCTGCACTTAAATCATCCAGAGCCAAGGGGATGCCTCGATATAGGAAGCGCCGAGGATATCTGATCGAAAATCCGGCGACTAGCATACATTGGGAAACATCATTCAATCGATACAAGTAGTAATAAAACACCCTATAAAAGCTAATCATTTTCATACTCATTAATTTTAACATTAACAAGTTCCTTGTAGCCGAAGAAAGCTAATTTTAATCGCATGAAAAAAAAAAAAAAAATAAATAATAGCCTCGATAGCTAACGCGGCGTATGTATACGCGAGAAAAAGTCTCATCAAAAACATCCTCAGTGCCGATAGTAATGCACCGGGAGAAAATATTCACGACAGCTTTCGTTCATCAACGAAAAAAATTAAGTTAAAATAGAGCCTCAATCCACGGCGAACAATCGCGGCTAATCGAGTTTACTCGTCATTAATCCGAACGGATGTGTGTGTACGCTGCTGTTGTTTTCGTTTCCACGTGTCTTGGAGATCCACTTTTTTTCTCGCGACATTGGCGTTTTGACGCCTCATCTCTTGCTTTCGGTCCCGTTTTACGGCTACATCGAGATCATTACCATGAACCTTTCTTCTCTACTGCTGGTCTCGCGCGTTCGTTGGCTCCTAATTTCTTTGGACGTTACTGCGATTCTGGGGGGCCTTTTTTTGCACTGCTTCGCAACAAGGTCGGCCTTTCTCCTCCTTTGATTTTCTTTGTCCCATTTCTTTTTTTTTTTTTTTTTTTATTTTCATTTCGCATTGCAACGATCGTTCGCATACTCACATTGCAGTTTAATGGCCATGAAAGTTGGCTTTATTGATTTTTCAATCCAACTACTGTACATCTGTTTGATACTGAAAGAGAAAAGTATAGCGGCTTATGGTACATTTTTAATGTATATAATACTCCTTTGTGGTTTATGACAAGTGTGTAAGTTTTGTTTTCAATCGTAAATAATTTATTTATAGTTTATAGTCCACCAATAATTTTATTTCATACCGATTTTATTGTTTATACAGTAGTTTTATTACCAATTAGAAAGTTTTACGGTTCGAGATGTTTTTTGCAACAATTATTTCTTGCGTGAATACAAACTTTCTTATTGAAAGATTACGTTAAAAAAAATTTCTTGGAATCGAAAAAACAATTACTCCAATGATTTCAAGTATTATATTGAAATAAGATAGTATTTTTTTACATCAAGAAAAAAATATTGTCTTAAAGTAACAAAATATCATTTTATTACAAGAGATTATTTTTTTGGTACTGAAGGCAAATATTTTCATGAATTTCAGAAATTTTTTTTTTCAATTCATGTAAAATGGTCATTTCAATGTAAACGGAAACGATCTTTTTATTTAGATATCGATTACTTAGTAAATCCTACTATATTTCTACGTAATAGTATTACGGAAAATTTATTACGTCACAAGATATTATTAATACGTAGTTTCTTTCATCGCAAATGACAGCTAATTAATTAAATTTACTCAATATCCCTGTATCTACCTCTTATTTTCCTGTATTAAATGTTACATGTATCGAAAATTTACAAACGACAGATTTTGCATCCATTGTAAAAAATGATCAGTGAAACGTTACAGTATCGAGCTGCGGAAATCATGACATTTACGCATGGCGCAATAGATTATGCAATCCGTTGCTCCATTATGAAAAAGAATGTGCGATTTTATTCTAGAGTTGTCTATTATTTGTTTCAATGGATAGTTGTGACTTAGATTAATCTCTTTCTTTCCACTTTGAAAACTGATACTGATTTCTGGATTGATTAAAGGACTAGTATCTGTTTTTAAAGCAAAAAAAGAAAAATATACTTTCCACAGTTTTACTATTAATGAAAATAATTACTAATATACGTTATCTAGTATGACGTTGAG